TCGCAAAGTGCTTGCCAAAATTATTAACTAGACGGTATTGTTCGTTAGCCCTCAATATGTAAGGTAAAAAAAGGGAGCACATCTCTGGAGCTTTTTGCAAAAGCAGAGTTAGGAAACTAATTCGGCATGAATGTAATCAACAGTGGCGAGGCGTGAGTAATCGAATATCGATATATCCCCATTTGAAGCTGTGGCAAGAATCAAGTGTTAAGGTGTTCGTTGTGAACACCCTGTTTATTGATCCTTTTCCACAAGTTTAAATGGCAGAACAATCGATATATCGCAAAGCACGCCACGCCTTTGGTAATCATTCACCAAATATCGGCCTAACTGCATATTGCCTGATTTTTTTTCATCATATAAATTCTCATTTCAAGATATTCTGAAATAATTTCATCTCTCTAAACGTTCTGTGAATTTTTCCTAGGCTGTAAGGAATACATTAGTCAAATTTCAAGGCAGTATTTTACTTATTCCTTAGTTGATGAGCCAAAACAAGAGATATAATCGAGCAACGCCTAATATAGTTCGATTTATTCTCATTAATGACGTACACATTCGCTTCAATTCATTCGGACTTGTGAAATCTGAGTTCGGGATCATCTTTGCGTATCTCACCTGAAATATTAAAATAGCACATTTCAGAGCCACGCCGAGAAAAGGTGAAGTTGATTTAACATTCTGGATACAAACTAAGTGTGCAAAAATTTATTAAATGCTAAATTACTCGCAACCCCAGTTAGACAAAAAATATTTTTAAGAAATTTTAAAAATATTTAATTAATATTTTCACAAAATATTTTTAAAAACTTTTTATATTATTTTTAAAATCTACTCATGTTAACCTCAGTTAATTTGAAAAATATTTTTTGAATATTTTCAAAATATTTCTTGAATTTTTTCAAAGTATTGTAAGAATATTTTAAAAATATTGCACAAGTATTGCATCCTAGAGTGCGCGCTCTCTAGGTGATATGTTTGGTACTAATGTTCTTCCGAACGTGCATATGCGTTGCTACCAGGCGGCGGATCATCGTAGAGTTGTGACTTACTTTAAAATCCGCGCCGTCCTAGTCGGGATTAGAACCCACGCCTCGGGATGGAGTTGCAATCCGTAGTCCAGTACTTTACCACCAGACCAGCCAGGCTTCCTACAGATGGGCCCCTAAATTCAATCTCTTAACTATCGCAGGCCTCTGAGTCCGTAATATGTTTGTTTATTGACGGATTCTTATGATATTTTACCAGACTTTATTATTTATTATTTTTTTATTGTTTTTTATTTCATCATGTAATTTTTTCATTCTCATTTTTTTTAACTCTCTCTCATTTTTTTTAACTATCTTTTTTTTTTTTAAGTATCATTTTTTTTAACTCATTCTTTTTTTTTAACTCTCATTTTTTTTAACTTTCTCTTTTTTTTATTTTTTTTTTTATTTATTTTTTTTTTAAACCAAATTAACGTTTTTTATAATTGCGTCTTTTTCCAGTTTTAATTATTTGGGCCTTTTTCTAGTTTGAATTTATGTCGATGTATTTATGTTATTTATTTATTGTTATTATTTCTTTTTTTTCTTATAATTATTATAATATTAATTCAAACATTTTAAAAAAATTTAATATTTTAAAAATATTATGAAATATTATTTTTAAAATATTAACAAAAATAATTATGATATATTTTAACAATATTATAAAATATTATTTTAAAAATGTTTACTTTTTATATTTTTAAAGTATTTTTGGAATATTTTAAAAATATTATTAGATATTATTTTTAAAACGTTTACTTTTAATATTTTTAAAATATTTATAAAACATTTTAAAAATAATATTTTATAATATTTTGAAAATGTTTACATTTTATATTTTAAAAATATTCCACAAATATTTCAAAAATATGTCATATTTTATATTTTAAAAGTATTTTGAAAAATATTTTTGGAATACTTTTAAAACATTCTTGAAATATTTTAAAAATATAAAGAAGAAAATATTTTCTGTAAATATTTTTGAAATAAGGTGCATATTTTTAAAATATTTTAAAAATATTGCTGTCTAACTGGGACAGCGGTTACTTAGGAATGACAGTAGATGTGATACTTATTGCTGAGGCGGGTAATCAGCATTTCATTAGTTCTCGCACACTCTTTCTACGCCCAGAATGTTAAATCAACTTTACTTTTTTTCAGTGCAGGATAGATATCTCCGTTGTGCTTCGTGAAATTGTGTGTAATCTTCGGGTAAAATTTGAAGGAAAAACCATGTAACGGAGTGGTTTATTCCTATACCTTGTTTAAAGCTCCCTCGCAGCTTGGCCAGATATTACCTCTGGTAAGACTCGCTTGGGATTTGGCGAACATTTCATGGCATGGCATCTCCGTCGGGGGACAACATGCTAATGAAATAGTTGACCAGTGACACGGACGATATGATTGGCGATCCTGCAGCGGAGAGTGAAAAAAGTTTACACATTATTCAAATTGGAGGCCATCGAGCATCGCGACCTCCCGCGTGAAACGACGGAAATCTGCCGAGTTCTCTTGTCAGCGCTGCCCGAATTTGCGTCAAATTAACAATATTCCCTCCGATCGAGACCGGAAATTGGCTATCCTTCGACCAGTGTCGCCTTTTATACACTGAAAAAAAAGTTACCAACTATTAAAATAACCCATAGCGGACATACCGCACTGAAAAAAAATTCTCGGCGTTTTTACCAAGGTCCGTTGGTACCTTTACCATCTCACTTTTTTTACCAATTATTGGTAATTTTACCAAGACAGACTGGTAAGCTTACATAAAAACCGGTATTTTTACTGTTTTTTTTCAGGTAAGAATACCACTTTTATTGGTAATCAATTCCCGGTAACTTTGCCATTTAATCTCTGTATTTCTACCACAGTCGATAAAAAATATTGGCATTTTTACCAAGGTCCAGTAAAATTCCCGAGAAAGTTTAATAATATTACCGAGATTCCTCGGTAAAATTACCAATTCCATAAATGGTCATTTTACCAAGAATTAACTGGGATCAAATAGAACCCTGAATTATTGGTAATTTTACCCTTTTCTTAACAAATACACCGAGATTTTTTTTTCAGTGCGTCCGCTATGGGCTCAGAGGCCAAAACCTCCGGATGCTGGAACCGTAGCTTCGATTGCTCCGGGTGCTATGCCCGGAACGCGGGCGGTATGTCTATATAGCCCATAAGTGTGGCTTCCTCGGCCGGAGTTTTTTTTCAGTGTAGGTTGAAAATACTGGATTGCATCCGTTTAAAGGCATGAAGGACGATATCCGAGCAAGAGAACTCGGATAGAATTGATTATTGATTACGGACTCAAACGAGAAAACCCAATGCTACCAATTGTAGAAATGTGCCACTGGTGTAAGTCCTAGACAATCCGACATCGCGGTTGTTGAGCTGTTGGCGAGTCTGAAAATGTATTCTGTTTTACGGCTTTTCTCCTGTGTTAACAGAGAGAGCAGTAACGAACAAAATTCTTTTCAAAATTCGATTAATCTGGTTTTATGACCTGCCTGATTCAGCCATCAAATGAAAGCAAAATGCATGCTATTTGAAAAAAGAAAAAAGAAATACAAGGATCAGGGGATGGCTCCAATGTACGGACGTTAAATAGCATTCCCCGCACGAACCTTTAATTTATTATTACTAGAAAATAATTTAATAATTATTTAAGATATGGTAACATTAAAACCTGATGACAGTGCAGAATGGAATGAATGATGCACAACTCACCTAGAGCTGTCACCTGTTTTGACATAGCACTCTATCATTGAACGTATAGGGCTCATGTTATATGGTGAATGGGTACTTCGAGCACGCAAACCTAGGCAAAATTTTTTGAACGAAAACTTTAATTTGACATGAAATCATTATCAAGTTGGACAGTTTCTCGAAAAAAGAGTATCTAAATAATGTCAAAGAAAAGCGTAATATCATTGCAGAAAGTGCTACGCACTAAAGATAAATATTCGTAAGCAATATTCACAAACAAATAATAAAAATATAAAATGTCTTTCCGCCACAAAAAATGGTAGAAATTCCCATTATGTAAAGTGGGGGTGCTAAAATTATGGCGTGTTACAATGTAACCGTGCAGCTTCGACAAAATCGCCGGAAAAAGCGTCCACAACGCGTCGCGTGGTGAACACTCAAAAAAGGATTCTAGGAAGCAGTGCAGGAGTATAATTAATTGACGTCATTCCAGACCAGATTATTTTGCGAGAAAGGAGAAGGTAGCTCATGCTGTGTAGTGCAAATCCCTAGCCTTTCCCGTCAACTAACTGTACTGTATAGCTGTTTGTTCTCTTCTCAAAAATGTGACCACGCAAGCATGCAAAAGATAGTGTAGCACATACTGCTGCATTGCCTGGCATCAAATACATAAAGTCAATTTCATTCAGTCGAATGTAAAATTCATCGATTTTATCCACATCAACACGATTTCGTTGATCCTTGTGGATAATTTATCCTAACTTTACGCGGAAAAGAGATTTTTTTTCGATAGCATTATCCGCTAAGACACTTCTAGGTCCATTTTCTGAGAGCTTCAATACCTAGGTTCCTATTCTCTCCGGCAACACAGTTAAATAGACCGCGTTGAGCAGAAAGGAACCAAGTCACATCAGCTATTGCCAAATTTAATTGGGCAATTTAATTCTTTACGAGAGAACGTTTGTGCGGATTCCTTTGAAAATTTTAAGAAATTTGCTTCGCACTAAAGAGAAATACAGTAAAATTTGCACGAAAATTCGCTTAATCGTTTTCATGTAAAGAATTAAATTGCCCAATCAAATTTGGCAATAGCTGAAGGCTTGATTCCTCTCTATTTAACGCGGTCCAGTTAAATTCCTCCAAACAGGACCGACATTTGGTTTTTGTTCGACCTGAGGTGAGTCATGCCATTTGGCAACTCTGAGTCGCCTTCATCTAAATTCGTGTAAAGAGTCGAATTGTGACAAATAAAAATACAACATCTTGAATGGAGTATTTGTAATAATATGGTGCTTTCAAATGGAGGCAAAACAGTGTAACGAACTCACGAGAATCCATTGAGCCGGAGGCAACCCGACATCGTGGCTGTTGAGCCATCGACGGCACTGAAAAGTTATTTTGTTCCATAACTCTTGAACCATGATTCCGTTCCGGTCAGTTACTTGCCGTCTCTCTATCATGAATGTTCTTCATTATTAGCACATTTTTTATTCCAATTATTCTCCCTCCTGTAAAGTCAATTGGATTAAACATTTGTTCACTGCGTTCGATTTCAATTTGAGCCGCTTGGAATATTGTGGAGTCCTAGGGTTTCACCAGCACAACAATACATATCCTCATGACTAATCTTTATTGTTATTGCCTATGTGCTGTGCAAATTTTGATTTTTCTGCCTTTTTTATCCTCTCATCAGTATTGCCGTGCATATTGAAGAATGCTGTATAATTATTCAGACGATGCCGAATTTCTCGTGATAAAAGCCGATTTCCTTTGAGATTTTCTGCATATTTTTCATGTCCGTAAAGTTAGCACACCACTTTTAAAATTTTTAAATCTTCTCTTTAGCTCGACTTAAAAATCACTTTCATTGTTTTTTGCTCAGGCATGTACCCCTCAAAAATTGAATTTGAATTTTCAGAGAGGTCATTGACCCCAGCGCCCTAGTTTCTTCAGATTAAGCAAAAATGGTGTCAAACGACGCGGAATCATTTGCTCACTTTTGCTCAGGCCTTCGTTACCGTTGCTAGATTCCCTCCCCAAAACGAATGGCAGCATTTTGGGGCACATCAAAGGCAGGGATGACTCCAAATTACCGACATGTCCATACTCCCCCTATACAGATGCTCTAAGTCTCCCGGTAAAGTTACTCTGTATCATGAACTTCTTATAAGTTGACTGTATCATTTGGCCAAGATAAGTATGACAAACACGTCTAACCCTGTTATTCGAGAAGATCCCAAGGGAGGACCCTGCCGGTCCGTGTTCTTATCCGAACAATACGGTTGAGCAAACTCGCAGCTAGCTTAAGCCTTTGTGTCCTGTAAAAGTCGGGCACCGCAGCTGCAGCGCAAAGGCCGAGAAGAGTCCGGGGACCAGTCGATGTCCCGAGATATGGTTGCAGAATGCCAAATCTGATATCGCAGTGAAGCTGTTGCCGAACTTCGGACGTGATAAACCTTTGCTCTCTCGCTGAGGAAGAACGTTGCATGAGCCTTCAGACACTGCCGAACAGAATACCTGTATCCGGGAGAGTATTGCCATCTCAACCATTTTTCAACATAAAAAGTTCGTCGCTCTCTGATTGGTCTCCATTGGATCATGGAGCCCCAAAGCCGGCCTAATTTAAACAAACCCCAACCCCTCCGCTCCTAGTTTGGCTCAATATAAACAACCAAGATGGCGACAAAGTTCTACAAAGTTCTAGACGCGATTTTGGATGCTCTAGAACTTTTTTTATATCCATTCTGAATTGAGTTCGAGTCGAACTTTAATGGATATTTTAGCCGAAAATTAACCTTTGGGTGTGATTATCATTCATTTCTCAGCCGATAGTACGTGTTCCTCTGGGTCGGGTTTGTTTACATTGGGCCAACTTTGGAGCTCCATGATAGCCTAAACCTGATGAAAAAATCAGAGAGTGGCACAGAGATGGCAATACTCTCCCGTATATAGGTATACTATACTGTCGAATCCCCTTTGATAAAATACCAATTTTGAGAAAACCTTTTAATTGTTTTTCTTCCGCTTTTCCAGATAATGGGTCAGTTGCGCTGGTCCCAGAATCGTGTTTTGATGCTTGATTCTTGTAGATTACCTAAAAATAATAAGATCTGTTCAAACAACTATCTACGTTCAATATTAATGGAGATATAGTGCTTTGAGAACTTCGTTTAAGATGACACCCACCGCGGTAGTGACACCCTTGGTTTCTTCCACCTTGCTTTCATTTGTCAGCACATTTTCATTGCGCACATTTTCACTGGTTACTCGACGTGAAACTCGGATGGAAGGAAGGTGGAAGAAACCAAGGGAGTTACTACTGGGTTGAATGACGTTATAAACCGAACTTTTCAAAGCGCGATATCTCGGTTAATATTGCACGTGGAAAGTTGCTGTTTGGACGGACCTTATTTTTATTAGCTGGTCTACAATAATCTGGTAAAGTCAAAATGTTTTTACGGAGTTTTTCTTTGGCATAGCAGCCTAGGCGTGACCATATCAGCACCGAAAATTCTCGCATTATTCGAAAAGACACCAATGCGGGAAGACCTTTTTGCAGTGCGACGAGGTTGTGGGAGAGGCTCAAAGTCGGCTGTGCTTTGCATTTCGCAGAGTCTTTTCCAGCTGCTTTCACATCCGACTTGGCGAATCTAAAGTCTTAAAGTCTGCATCCACGACAACAATCTTCCATACTGCCGCGCCGTGCTAAAAAAATCGCACAAAAACATTCGCATAATGTCAAATTTTCTCTGGAAAAACATACTTACTTCTGAAGAAATTTGTTAACTGTGCGGTGTAACCAGAGATTTTTTGTAAATGGGCGCGAGGGGTTTTAATCTGTAATGTGCGATTATGCCACAATATCAGTGCATAATACACTCAGATAATCAGACCGCGTTTAGCAGAAAGGGACTAAGCCACATCAGCTGTTGCCAAATTTAACTGAGCAATTTGATTTTTTACAAGAGAACGTGTGTGCAGATTCCTTTGAAAATTTTAAGGAATTTGCCTCGTACTATGCAGAAAATTTACCGAAATTTGCACAAAAAGCCGCAGAGTCGTTCTCATGTAAAAAATACAATTGCCCAATTAAATTTGGCGATAGCTGATGTGGCTTGTTTCCCTTTTGCTCAACACGGTCCAATTGGGCTATACTTGGCAAAAACGACGTCTGAGCTTTGCAGTGGTTTTTAAATTGTATGAAACGCGGCGCATAATTCGCAGCTGGATGACTTGAAAGCCGCTTGAATTCTTTTGTTTTCCTACTTATTTATCTACAAAAAGTAATCGGCAACTCTTTCTATGTTATTTCTCCTAAAGTGTTTATGATGTTGCATGATCCGCGCAGCATTACTAAGCCTATCTTTCATTCTTAAAAAAGTGGTTCCCTTTGATAGCATCAATGAGAGAGGTATGACTTAAAATCTTGTACTGCACTGCAAAAAAATATGGTAACATCTATTATTAGTCTACTTAATTTTTTACACAGCGATACTGTATGTATAGTGAAAATAACCAGAATTGGACCGAGTTTAACAGAAAGGAACCAAGCCACATCAGCTGGTGCCAAAATTAACTGGGCAATTCAATTTTTTATGAAAGAATGTTTGTGCGGATTTCTGTGAAAATGATAAGGAATTTGCTTCGTACTGTGGAGAAAATTCACTGAAATATGCACGGAAATTTGCACTACCGTTTTCATGTAAAAAATTAAATTGCCCAATTAAATTTGGCAATAGCTGATGTAGCTTGGTTCCTTTCTGTTTAACTCGGTCCAATTATAGTAGCATTTACCAGAATTCTAAATTATACACACTTACTGAAAAGGTAGATGCTACCCTGGTGTTTACTACCATACTCGGATCACTTGTGTCACAGTAAAATCTACCGTAATTTATTTATTGTGTCGTTAGATTATGATCAATGGTTTATGACTTGCCGATTCTCAGTTCTTAATAATAGAAATGATTTGGAATCAGATTTTGTATTTAATAAGTTAGATATAGTTTGAAAACTGTCACTGTCACCTTATGTACGTGCACATTTTAAGGGAGGTTAATAAAATGGAATAAATCAGTTACCAACGAGCAAAGAATGATTCCGAATGGAAGGTTACAGATTTGTCGAAATTAGTCACAAGCTCTAAATTGATGCGCGCGTATGTATGGGAATCACGTGTCACCGTAACCAGATGTGCGTCAAAAAGTTCGATAGTCGGTTGACTTGTTGGACAGGTTTGCAGACTTCGTTTCAGTCCTGCCTGGGACGTGAGCAAAAACAAAAACCAAAAAGCTGAACTTCTAAAGAACCTGAACGGCAATCAGCATGTATATTTTTCACCCTAATTCCTTCATTGTTTTTCAGTTGAGTGGCGAGATCCACTTTTCTCCTCCAAAGTATATTTGTCATGTGTATAACATTCCTTTTAAATCTTTTACGCCTGTCTTCCAATCATAAAATAATTTGGAGATGATTTCCCACATCAAATTTAAAGGAAGAGGAAAGAACATGAACTAACTTAATGTGTGCGTATCGGAGCTCTAGATGGCAAGTTCAGATGTTCAGCTCGCGTGACACCAAAGAGAGCCTGCAATTCATGGTTTAGGTTATTTCGCCCACATGGCGGTTGAAATAGTTGCTAAATGTGATTTAATAATAAATAGGCAAGCTTACGGTATTTTCACCTTTAACACTGTGTGTCCTTAAGTTAGAGGTATTGAAATAAATTATCTAGCACCCCCTACTCAGTTAATTTCCTCTTTTATTGATTACGTTGGTAAAAAAAATGAAAAATTATTTTTTGCGCTCTCCTTATGAACCTGGTTGTAAAGCAGAAATTTGTAAGGACAACAATAAATTATTATGATACGTCATTTAACCGCTCAAATTGAATCGCCTGAAATTTCGTTTTTTTTTTATAAACTTTGCCCGGAATTTGGGGACTTGAAAACGCAATGTTGAACTAGTTTTGAACTCACCGAAATAATGTTGAGGCAAAGTTATGGAAAATTGGCTCATTTCGCGGAAAAATCGTATGACCTTTGAACTGACGTATTTGGGGGGCCGAACCCCCCTTAAAATTATTTTAAAGTAATTTTTGTGATTTTTACTCAAAAGTGCTTACAGTTTGGCAAATTTTCCCGTTTTATTTTATTGGCTACAATAATTTAAACCGGAGTTATGATTTTTTGAAAATAGGTCTTTAACCTTTGACCTATCATAACTCTGCCAAAAATTAAGATACTGATTTGCGGTTTGCGCCAAAATAATTTTTAATGGTTTTTCCAATGATGTTTCACAAGGTAGGGGCTACTATTTGAAAAAAAAAGTTGAGGGGCCCCCCCCCGCCCCCCCGAGGGAGGGGTAAAAATGTTGACCCCCCTAGAAGATGGTCTCCTTTGAGATAGAAACATTCTCAAAATTCCGTGTTTCTATCTCTAACTTTTCGAAAGTTATCGGGGGGGGGGGGCTTTTGGGACACCCTGTATAACCCGTGAATACAGCTTCTACGGCCGGAGTTTTTTTCAAGTGTAAAAATTCGTGCTTTAATACAAATAAATTTAGCAACGTTTGGCGGCTCCTACGGCGTTTTTCCCTAGAAAGGCAGTTTTATAAGCGCCACAAGGTGATGGTTCCTGGAACTGACGGGTTGGATTCGCTGTAAAGCTGAAGGAGTTCCGACGAATCCAATCGAGTGCTTTTCAATCAAACATCTTGCCTGTGCTAAGCCCACTCCTAGAAGCCGTGGTCTTTAAGGAGCCTGTCAGATCCGCGGGATTCCGGGAAGGGAACATGGATCTCGGGATATCCTCAGAGCAAAGGTTTGCTTGGAGGCCGCAAAGATGAACAGGTGTCGCCATGGTGGCGATAGCTATTAGCTTGTACCCTAAGAAACTGCGGCCAAATTCGAGTTGACACAAAGACGACCGCTTTTGACATCCCCTCCTTGCTCCGACCCTCTCCCCCTCCCACCATCAACTCACCACCATTGCAATACGACGCACCATGTTGCCAGTGCCATACCAAAAGTTCGTCACCTTCCGGTCAAAGTATCACGAGCGCCATGTGACGTTTAAACATTTACGCCGCCATTTTATTTTTCCACAGAGAAATTCTTCGACGAAGCTGTCTGAAAATTTCAATTAATTTTGTCCGGCCGATAAAATTCAGTGAAATTTTCGTATAGCTTTGTTGAAAAATTTCTTTGTAAAGAAATAAAATGGCGGCGAAATTTTGAAACGTCGCATGGCGCTTGTGATACTTTGGCCGGAAGGTGACGAGTTATCTTGGAGTTATACCTATTGGATCACCATCAGGCAAGGTGACGCCTTTTCAAGATATGTTCCTTCATAGAAACTTCATTCGGAACACGCAAGACCTGTGTAAAAAAGTTCAAAATCAACTAATGAGTGAAAACTTTATGATTAATAGTTCACATTCAATCACACTAAATAAAAACTCCGGCTGTGGAAACCGTACTTACATGTTACATGGACATAATGTGTGCGTTCCGAACTCAGAAGCCGAGAGTTCCAGGTTTAGTACCCGAGGTAGTCACTGCTACGGCTCCAGCAATCTGAACTCTCGACCTCTGAGCCAGGGGCGAATGGTATGTCTATACAGCCCGTAATTTTTTCACTGTGGTAACATCACTAAATTAGTTCCGCCCGTGAAAAAACGAAACTAAAATAAGCTAAACTACTAAAATCAACGTTTTTTCAAATGAGCAAGCCATTCTCCATTTAAATGAAGAGCAGATGATGTCGTTGAAATGACTAAAAATTTAGTTTTACTCGATTGCAACAGTGCAAAGTTTACTTAACCAACTTTGTCCGTGTCAAATCCATTTCAAAATCAATTAGGAGTCTCACGTAGCAATCAAAATTCATTTTTGTTTTTCTTTTTATGGGAATGTTGGCACGAGGTATATCAAGTGATGACTAATAACAGGCACTAGATTACGGTTCGATGGACGAACCGTTTAGGCAGAGCTTTGTGAATTTTTCCAACGTGCGCTAAAATTCAGTATGAAACTGAAAATTTCATTGAAAGGGAAGAACTTATTTAAGTGTAATTTTCTTCGAGAGAGAGGTATGCTGTTTGTTGCTACACCACTTACAATTTTTGCATTTGTGAGAGCATCTTTCACGTTGCTCTCTGGCACTCTTCGACGCCTAGCCGTCACTCCAAAAAAGCAACGAATGCTGAGAGCAATGCATTTGGGTTTCTAAAGAGGGTCAGCAGGAATTTTTAGAAGAGATCGGGTCCCTTTATCATGGTGTGCGTCACATCATGGTAGTCGGAAATGACATCATGTACCTGACGCCGCGCCATGACCAAACGGCTTCTTTGGAACGATCTTGTTAAGGAAGAGGATGACGAAAAAAAGGCTGCCAAAGAAGATGTTTGATTGGGTTCCCCTTGAAAGAAGATGAAAGGGACGCCTATTCTGCCGTGGTAAGGAAGAACGCCGTATGAACTTTCAGGCGTTGCAAAATTTTCGTAGGTATATAAGTCAAGAATTTTTGGGAAAATTTTCAAATATTTTACTTCCAATTTTTCAGATAATTTTATACGCAATTTTACCCACAGTTCTTGAAAATTTCTCGAGAAAATATTTATGACTTTCCGAAAAAATAAACATTTTATCGAAGGAATTTTGGCAACTCTCGAATATTCATACGGCGTTTTTCCTTAGC